TAGCGATCATTACTGCCCATTTAGGAAGGAGAATTCCCTATACTATGCAAAAGTTTTAGTATTTCTTGATCCAACAAAGATTGTTGTTCTGAAAGAGGTTGTTTTACGGGACATCAATTATTCAATATTCAAAATATACAATTGTCTACCATTGTAAGTAACTTTTACTTTTTAGTTTAATAATTTGTGTTGCATACAAAAAATCCAACTCTTATTTGACCTTATATTGAACTATGCTCTTAGGAATACTCTATATGACGATATTCCTCTAAAAAGAGATAGCAGTACACATGCACCTACAAATTTGCTAACAAAAGGTTCAGGAATTAAGAGTGGCACAAGGTAATGTTTCTCTTATTTTTTACATAATTTTGGATTAACTTTAATCCACTCTATGGTGAATTATATAGTTGTGGCTTATCTACAGTGTTGCTTTTTCCCAGTGAAAAGCAAAAGAAGCTGGTGTCACAACATCATTACAGGATTGCGATGAAAAAAGATATTCACGTCTTGAGAAGCAAGCTGGAGAACTCGAATTCCTCTCAAAGTTTAAAGACTGAATCAGTGAGTGTCATCTCCCCTCCCCATGGCCCGCTTCCTCACTGCAACTGATTATTGAACGTAGTTGGATATACATGAATATGTAGGTTATGTTTTTTTGCCTTTTGAGAAACATATTAATTGACCATCAAAGCAGACATTGTTTACATAGGTTTACACAGTCTTATCTGCATAAGTCTTATCTGCATAAGGGTAAATTTTAGAAGCTGGGGGTGACCAGCTTCTAAAAACTGATTCTGATTCTGTTTCTGCTTTAAAAAAAAGAAGCAGAAACAGATTTTGAAAACTGATTCTGTTACTGATTCTAAACACCCCCTTTCTCCACTTCTTCGGTAATGGGAGGCCACAAAGCAACCCTTTGATTTAGTAGCTTTGAGCCAAACTCGAGCTGATTTCGAGCTTAGGTAAATACACCGAGCTGAACTCGAGCATTAAAATTTATGCTCGTTTGAGCTCGAGCCGAACTCGAGCATGATGAATATTTTCGAGCTCGAGCCTATGTAAGTTCGGGCTCGGCTCGTTTACACCCCTAGGTTGGCTCATTTGAGAGCCCGATGCAATGTTCTCTCATGCAGGCGACGTTTTGGATCCAGGAACACAACATCCCTTTAAGCTTGATGACGCCGTGGGTAGCAAAATTAATTGGTAACAATGTTGGTGCTAATGAAAACAACTTCAAGGGTCTTGTAGTTTTTATGCGAGTGTGTGGGCCGATTTAGATACGTTGTCGTTGCAACGATTTTTGGGAGCCCCGCTCATTAAATAAAAATGACGGGAGGCAGATAGAGAGACCCATGTAAAAACTGAATCATCAAATAGAGATGTTCGGGAGAGATTGGAGCTAGGCTCGCACTATTTTGTTGGCTTTTGGATGCACACCGGTTACCAAATAAAGGTGGCTGGAGGTAATTCGAGGGCCCTGCTTAGAGTTCGAATCTTCAAAATTAAGATGTTCTATGATTAGGATCTGGCTCGTACCACCTTTGGGGATTTTAACCCGCTAATAATGGCGGTGATAATAACAATATATGATGATGATGATTACAATAATAATAATCTGTATATATATAGTAACAAAATAGTGGGAGGGGAGTTTGGGCGGGAACATTGTAGCAATGTTTTTGTTATTATTTTTTTTTTTCGTTTTTTGGGTGGGGAGCTGCATTAATTGTTTTGGTAGCTTTGCCGGATAGTACTTCCTAATAAGTAGGACTGTAGGAGCTTTGTTCAAAAATACTCCGTACTTCAATAAGGAGTATTTTTGTTAATTTTTACAGTTAGTTGTATCAAGATAATTGTTTGGCGCCTCTAGGCTTCTAGGGAAATTCAATAGCCACTTTCTCCTTTTTAATACGGAGTAAGTTGTTATTGTGTATTAATTATTAATGACAGTATCCCTTTTTTTCTGAAAGGATTAATGACAGTATCCCTTAAGTACAATACCCTTCAAAATTTGGCATGCGCGTTTAAGAGTACTTCCCCTGTTCTCCAGAATAAGCTGAGCACCTCCATTATGATTTTATTACTATACAGTCATTTACAAAATCTCAAATTAGAAAACTGAATGTGAAAGATATATTTTTATATTCAAATTACTTTATTCCTTTGAAAGGTAATATCTTATACTTTTATTTATTTTTTTTTTTTTTTCAATCAAGATAGTCTGGGATGACATGTTTCATGGATTATATATGGGTCATATATAAGCACTAATTCATGAAACAATACTACTCCGTATTTCTTTATAAAATTGGTGTAAAATAAAAGTGAATTATTTATCTTCAACAATATAGTGGCAAACAAATAATGCAACCAACTTGGGGTTTTTAAAAAGTTTTTAAAATATATTCAAAAAATGGAACAATATCCGTTATGGCACAAGTACTATACTAATAATAATAATAATAATAATAATAATAATAATAATAATCATAGTAATAATAATATATTACTCCCTCCGTCCCGCTATAATTATCTCATTTTATCTTTTCGGTCCATACCACTAAGATTGTCTCATACTTTATTTGGCAAAGTTTGTGTGGTTTTAAATCATTCTTACTTTATTCTTAATTTATCAATTCAATATCAACCAAATAAACTCACTTTAAAGGTAGTACTAGGTAGTGTTTAATGCATAAATTAGGAGTATTAGGCTTTTGGGTACTTAGCTCTTATTTCGGTTGTTTGACTATGGAGATGGTAACCGGAGTCTAGGCTCCGAAGTTTGAGCCGCGACGGAGACCAGCGTTGTGGCGGAGCGTCCAAGTGTGGCGCTGGCAAGGTTGTGGCGGAGGGGCTCGCACTTGGTACAGTGAGCTGCAGAAGACGGAACGGGCGGCTTCAGCAGGCAGCAGGCCACTGCTATTGGTGTGTGGTGGCGATGTCTGGAGCCTGGCGCACAGCGGTGGATGCCTTTGCTGCTCCGATCTCACAGAACCCAACTCAGATTCCACTTTGTTTCTTTTTATTTTCCAGATTCGTTTTTCCAGAACTGTTTTTTCATTTTTCAGACAGAATTTTGCTCTATTTTCTGCAATTCGTATGAATTTCTTGAATACGTGGAAGGAATCTCACTTCATTTTGCTCGAATCTCTTAAGGAGAGAGCCAAATGATGGATTACCCGCACGATAGGTGAGGAAGAAGATAAATACGTAATAGACAGTGTATTGTGTTAAATAAAGCTACAAGAGTAGACAGTGTATTCTGTGGAGTATAAATAAATAACTAACGAGATGGGCCGCTAATATGGGCCCGATAAGCCCATCTATCTGAATGGCTAATCTATTGTTTTATATAGTAAAACTGAGTTATAAATAACTTATGTGTCATATTCTGATTGGTTAACAAAAACAAATAACACCACTCTTACTTCCAGTGGCGGAACCAGAACAATATCCAAGGGGTGGCTAAGAAAGACGTTGTTGAGGTTTTGTCCCGTAGATCCGGAAGCCCAACATAAACTTCGGATATTAAGGACGATTAATTCAATATAAACATAAATAAAATATATATATAAGTGTATGAACTAGCTATTTTTACGTGGAAACCCGGAAAGAAAGAAAACCACGGGACTTTTTAGGCTAACGTCCAAGCCCGCTCTTTCTCATTAATATCCTCCCATCACTCAATACATATTTTGCACTCCATTAGTGGAGGTTGAACAAGCTTGCTAACCTATCAAAGGGGAAGAAAAAGACTCCCCTGGGAGATAAGAGCCAAAGCCAAGAGCCAAAAGATCCATAATTTGGAAGCCAAGCTTCCTATTTATAGCCAAGGGGGAGGGTTCCCTCTTCTTCTGGGCCGGAAAGGCCGGTTGGGCCTTAAATGGGCCTAACTTCTATTCTTTCGGCCCAACTGGCCGAAATAAGCCGGGTAAGCCTAAATGGGCCTCGCCAAATGGGCCCCGTACCAGGGTGGTGTCTTTGGCATTTGAACAGTAGTAGGCCGGGGTAATATACCCCAACAGACGTTAATCGAGATCACTCACAATACTATTTGGATCGAAATCCACACAAGCACGTTTTTGCCTATTGTTTTCTTTGTTACCTTGTTTAGAAAACTCACTGTCCCATGTAAAAATTGTAATTTAGACATACGTAATATTTGTGAATATTAGTTAAGTAAGTTTCAAACTACAAAATTATACTCCCTTCGTCCAATTGGACTTTGCCAAGTTCCCTTTTTGTTGTCCCAAAAAACTTTGCCATTTTCCCATTAAAGTTACTATTTTGTGGTTCTGCTCATTTCTTTCTTCTCTGTACAATCTTCAATCACACAATTTTTACTATTCTTATTTCTCACCTAACTCAAATAGTGCAAAGTCCATTGGGACGGAGGTAATACTTAGTAAAATGTAAAATTCACATACGAAAATTATCTTTGTAAATACTCCATCCGCCCCGCTATGATTGTCCCATTTTAGCTTTTCGGTCCGTCCCACTAAGATTGTCTCATACCTTATTTGGCAAAGTTTGTGTGGTTTAAATCATTCCTACTTTATTCTTACTTTATCAATTCAATATCAACCACATAAACCCACTTTTATTAATAACTATGTCACCTTCTCTTGTCCCAAACTTAGGGGGACGGAGGTAGTATTAGTTATTTTTATTTATTTAGGTTATTTAAACTAGTAATACAATTTAAATTAATAAAAAGTTAAATATTTTTAAAATAAATTTTAAATTAAGAAAGAAACTAACTAAATCAAGAGATGAAATTGGTAATTGAGTATAAGCCTAATTGATAGACTGCTAAAAGCATAAACATATTAAAAATTCAATAAAATTTTCATTTTAACTCCCTAATCCACTAATCGGCTAATTCGTAGAGGCTGTATTAAGTTATTAACTGTATAACACAACACCCCAATTCAAATTTTGAATGGAATTACTAGTTAACAGGTGAACAAATCCAAAAAACAGCCAAAAAAATCTACCTCCTCACTTTATCGTTGCCTGTCTCAACACTCCCCTGCGACCTGCATCTTTACTCGCCAATCTCCAATTCGACAGCCTTCTCGTTCGATGATTTTGATCCATCGCTCGCTCGCCAACCACCAAGAGCGCACTATTCCCCAAGTAAGCTAATCCTCCCCGGCTGGCTCATGTCATGTTTTCCAATTTTCTGAAGTTTCAAAATCTTAATCACAGGCCCAAACGCTCAATTACACTCTTAGGCTTCACAGTTGGGCGGCGTCGTTTTACAATTTAGTACTCCCTTCGTCCCGGGGAGAAGTTCCCGGGTTGACTTTCACACATTTTTAGGAAATAAAGTTACTGAGGGGTAAATTTTACTGTTTTGCACTGTTTCGACACTGTTTGGCACTGTTTGGCACTTTTTTAATGTAGGATAACTTTCCATTTAGGGAAATGGGAAGTTTCTTTTGGGACATCCAAATAAGGAAATTGGGAACTTCTCCCCGGGACGGAGGGAGTATCATTTAACCGAACGACGTCGTTTGGTCTTTAATTGATTAAAACAGAGTTTGAACTAGAAGGTCAAAACAAACAAACATAGTCGATGCGCAGAGCTCCCAAGCCGGTGCAGAACGGGAAAGGTAGAAGACGACCCGGGGAGGCTCAGGACATATACCTAAATATACCTAATCACTTCCGGCGAAGGGGTGGCGCCGGCACCGGCTCGCTCCCCCTGGTTCCGCCCCTGCGAGTTACTTCACGGTTAATCACATCACATTTAATTAACCATTAAATATCTCCTCTTTTCATGGCTAATTAATAGGTAAAAAAAAAAAATTGACACGTCCCGGTTAAGTAGGTAGAATTCATGAAAAACCAAGTACGATTAAATAGCTCACTCTTGATGGCTAATTAATAGGTACGTAAGAAATAAAATGCTACGTCATTATTCAATCTTTTCTATTAGGAATGATTAAAAAAAATCTTTTCTATCAGGATGGTTTTTTTGGAGGATGTTTAAAATTTGGGAAAATAATGATTACCCCTTGAGGTTAGGTGATAATTATTAAATCAACCTTATATTTTTAGAACTGAATTATTTAACCCTTAAGCTTTTACTAAAGTTAGAATATCCCCCTTTTGTTAAATCTAAGTTGCTTGACCGTTAATTGTAAGTGGAATTCCCAAAAAATGTCCTTATATATTAAACTAAACTAAGGAGTGGTATAAACTAAGAGTACATCAAATCAAAGTTTCCAGGCTTACTCCAAAAGTATTCGAACAAAAAATTAATGTTATTCAAAGCATCATTGGAGCACACTTGAAAGTGCTTTGTGCCTTTCCTTTTTTCTTCCTTTCTGCTCCAATTTCAATTCTCAGTCGCAGTCTCATTCGTACATCAAAGGAAAATTCACTCGGCTGTGTATTTGAAGTAAGGGTGGGCAAAAATACCAAACTGGCATGGTGTCAAACCAGACCGATATGGTACTGGACCGAAAAACGGGACTTGAAAGAGATCTCAACTTTTTTTTTGTTGCGAACCAGACTGTACCGGTTCTAAACAATGTCATGACCGGGTAAAATTTGTACTACTATAGTTTATCTGAAATTTAATAATTATGTAATACTATGTACGAAGTATAAAAATTGATAAATTATGTGAATTTTTATAGGATGGCTAAACTTTAACTTCCACTTAAACACTTGAAAAAGTGACATTGTTTGATATTTATTATGATATGGTACCGTCCCGATTGAAAATAGAACCGTACTGAACGGGTTTAGGTCTAAGATCAAACTGAACCGTTTCAATAGTCACGATACTAGACTGGACCGGACCCACTAATTTGAAAAAAAATATGGAGATGAGAGGATTTAACAAATAATCCCTAAACAAGGGTATTTTAGTCAAAGAAATAGGCATTTGATGAAAATGTTGATAGAAGGGGGAGATTACAACATTAATCGTAGCTGAGGGTGTAAATAGTTGACTTTTAAAAATATAAGGTTGAACTAATAATTATGATCAAACTAGAAGGAGTTAATCATAATTTTCCCTTAAAATTTTCTTGACCGATCTAATCTGGTTTAAACTGATCAGTTCTGATCTGATAAACATCAGATATATGTGTATTTTATAATTGTTCAAGTTTGGTCTGATATGATCTGAAATTGAAAACAACCCAATCAAAAACATCCTAAATTTTGAGTTGTGAAATAGTGATGTATCACTCTCTTATTGATTTCAGTTTTATGAAGTAAAACTAAGTTAAAAATCAATGATGTGTGAATAATACAAATTCTATTATCGCTACAATTAAAACAATTAATTAACTCCCTCAAATGATGCATCATGCGATTCACGGCTGATTTGGAGCAAGAGAAGCAAAGGAGAAAATATCTCTCTTTTTTCGAAGTGAAATAACTTTTATATTTATAATCCAATTTTTACAAAAAATATATCATCAATATCGCATATATAAAAATAAAATCAGTATTTTATATATAATAAAAATGAGTTATAAATCAGTAATGTTTGAGATTGTTAGTAGTTAATAAAAATTCTATTGTCGCTCGGCCGGCTGGTGCTTCACTACTATTTTTACTCGGTGCGTCAGTGTTATTCACTTTAATCATGCCGACTTATTTAAAGAAAGGGGAAGATAATATTTTTTGCTACTCCGTTTTTTATAAAAAAATGTTTCAATATTCATAAGTTTTATAATCTCTTATATGACACCAATATTGCATATATAAAAATAAATAATTATTATTTTTATATAATAATAAATTAATGATGTGTGAGTCTTTTATTTGTTACGAAATATTCCATTACCACTCTTGCTAAATCATTTAATTAATCTGTGTTCACGTGGTGCATCACTGTTATTCACTCAATGCATTACTGTTATTCACTCGGTGCATCACTACTATTCATTTTAATCCAGCCAACTCATTCTGTGCATCACTCCAAGTTTTACAAAAAAAATATAAAAAATTATTATCTTGCATATGACACCAAATTCCACATATAAGAAAAAAACTATTGTAAACATTGAGCTATAAATCTATTATATATCAAATCTATAGTAAAATTTGAGTTTGGGTGTGCATTATGAGAAGTGCACATTTGCACAATAGTCGTGACACATATAAGGATCCAATTTTCATTAAATATTTAAATTTATTCTTTTATTTAGTAAAACATGATCCCCAAACTGCTGACATGTCACTCTGTTATTGGCTAACAAAATTTCTATTTTCATATTATTATGCATTTAATTAGTTCCAAACAAAAAGGAGATGGAACAACTATAATGAAAAAGGGTGAAAAGAAGTCGGAGAAAAAATGTTAAATAACTAACACTTGACATTATGTAGACTACACACATTAAAAGATTTGATTAGTTCGTAACGGAGATAGAATGCCTAATGCAAAAGTCTTGAGAAAAAGTAGGAGAAAAACGTAAAAACATATCCTTAGAAGTTATTCTGGTACTCCTATTCTTATTCTTATTGTTTACGTACTGCGTATTACTTATTCTTACTTTATTCAGACCAGATCAGATAAAAAGTCAATCAGATTAGACCAAAACATTTAAATCAGAAAAGTTTAAATCATACCAGAAACACTCTATTCAAATCAGAAATGTTAAGACATAAATTATTTTTACTATTATGATGATTCCGATCTGATCTAAATATTTTTGTAGGTTATTATTGTAGGTTGCTTCCATTGAAATTAATTATGAATACTACTCTTATTATTATAATCATTATTTGTATGCTATTGTTATTCATAAAGCATCATATATTATTACTAAGGTTATTGTCAATGATATTAATATTATTTAATTATATTCTTAATGTATTTTTATTGTTAACAGTATTTATAAGTGACTATTATTATAAAGTGTAGGTTGTTGGTATCTATAATCATATTATAATAGCAATACTACATATTATAATAATATTGATAAAGCTTATTATTATGATGATCGTAATTATAAATATAAAGATAATTATAATGATAATAAAATGATATTATAATTATACTTATAATTGTAATTATAATTATATTTATGGTGGTTAGTTAATAAAAGAAATCGGTTATTGACAAAATTTTGATGATATCCTATTAATAGCTCACAATGTTTATTAGCATTTGTCACCTCAGTCATATCAAATTAACACTACCGGGGCATGCCCCGGGTGTTACACTAGTCTAGTAGATAAAAATGATACAAAAATTGAAACGGCTACAATTCTATATGAATAGAAACTTAACAAGGCCGTCAAGGCACGAAAGGAAGCTCTAAGTGGACTGAGAAAGAAATTACATCTTTCAGGTCAGACATAAAACATACTACCTCCGTAACTTAAAAATCTTCTCATTTCAAAAGTAGGTAGATTAAGAATAGTGAAAGAGGATATGAATTATTGAGGTTATGATGAGAAGATAGTAAAATAATGTGATATAATGTGGGATAAATCCAAAAAAAAGTAGTTGTAATATGTATTATTTTCAGAATTATTGAGGGTATGATGGGAAGATTTAGAAATGAGAAGATTTTTTTGTTACGGACGAAAAAGGAAAGTGGGAAGATTTCTATGTTATGGAGGGAGTATGAATATAACCTGGAGGGTCTGGTCATCCCAATGAGACAAATTTAAAACACAAACCAACAATTATAGTCTTTTACATGTGAGGTGACTCTGTATAAAAAAGTGGCCATATTACTTTGTGAGTTTGTGTTTCCAGGCTACTTGAGTTTGTTTCATGTCAAAACAATAATTGGGTGCAGAGAGAATACATTTCAATCATATGCTCTTTTGTTTTTTTCACAAATATTTGTACAGGTTTGTCCGGCCTTCAAAAATGAGCGAGCAAAGAATAAATGAATATATAGAAGGAAAGTATGGGAAAATTGGGGTTGACAGGTATGATTTTGGCTTTCCTTTCTACCGTAGTATAATGTTGTTCACTTCTTTTTGTAGCTTTCAATGTAGGGAAAATTCTCAAAATAGGAATAAAAACGTTTGAAAATTTCAAAATAGTACTTCTTTGTTTTTATTCCCTAAATTGGTGTAGTTACTACCAAACTTGGAAAATACTGCCAAGTTTAAAGTTTGGTATTGCCAAAACATGGCAGTAATTACTCTTATTTAGAAAATAAAAACATAATAGTCTTATTTTGGGATACAAAACGTTAGAGTCCTATTTAGGGCAATTTCCCTTCAGTGTATTTTCTATGCACAATCATACACACTAAGATTACATAACTTGTCTTTAATGGTTAATAAATTTGGATTAGGTGGTGTAAAGCGATTTTGTTACTAGTAGGCTGTTGCCTGTTTAGGGTAAGTGATACTATTATTTTTTTTCTTCTTCTTTAGAAACACTATGTTTTCAAAACGTAATTTGATTTGATGATTTTAAAACTTTCTTTGTTATTTAAAAACACTGTATCTTCAAAACGTGCTTTGATTTGAAAACAGGGTTGCTTTAAAAGTCTAAATTAATTTTGTGGGTAACTGTTTTGTAAAACATCAATGTAAACTACGTAGTATATAAAAAAATTAACCTTTTAGATCATGCAAAATGGTTGAAACAAGAAAATAACAAACACGAGGTGCTATAATTGAAAAGGCTACAGTTCATTGCATTACTTTAAATTTTGTGCTTGTAAATCACTCACAAAATACTCCTCCCAACAGGTAATGCGGGATGAGTTTAACTTGAGATAGCATTTCGAGAGCCAAAGTCCTTAGCCAAACACATTCTAATGAAATAAAGTCTCAAAACAAAAAGGACAAAAATTTAGAATCCAGTGATGAAGAGTTATTCTTTTTATCTTTTGGACTCAATCCTCTATATTTTGGTTCTAGTCCAGGCATAATCCATTTCTAAGTTCCAGGATGGTGTCTAATGTGCTGATTTCGGTGTGCTTACACTCTTCCAGGGTTTGGCATGATACGGCTATCCCTTTAGGAGAAGTTATCAAGCAATTTGAAACTTGGCTAGCTAAGAATGAATTGTGGCAAAAGGAGGGGGGTGGCTGCCTAAATAAGGCTGCATTTGTGACCTGGTAAGTCACCTAAAATGAGAAGACAAAACTAGAAAAGCACTCTCAAGATTTTCTGATCCTTAATTTAAATATAAAGGATAACTCTTTAAATGTAAAAGATAAAAAATGTTAATAGACACATGGTGATAAGAGATAGTGTTTTTTTCAAATAATCTTTTCAGGCAATAGATGACTCTCTTAGTCTAGTCACTGGCTATGGAGCCATGACTAAAGGAGTGTTTGCAGTTGATTAAAAAAAGCACTTTTCAGCTTTTGGCTTAAAAAAAGTTAAAAAGAGTGTTTTCAAATGACAGCTTCTGCTTAAATTAATCACTTAAAAGCTAAAAGCTGGAAGCAGGTGGAAGGGTGCTTTAAACTGCTTTTCACTTTTTCTATTACACAAAAAGTACTTATTTTACCAAACACTACCAACTTTTACTTTTTCAGAATCACTTTTTCCTCAAACACTACCAACTTTTACTATTAATCACTTTTCCCCAAATCACTTTAAAAAATCACTTTTTTAAAGTTGAAGCAATTGCAAACACTCCCTAAATATCTTTGGTTCTAGAGCATTCTTGGAATCTTTTTGCCTTCTGGTTTGTCTACTTATGCTCCATATGCAAGTGTATCAGATGTGGATTTGATATGTTGCACTGTTGTTTCGAGATGCTTTTCATATTGATTTTCTCATGAAACACAAAATCATGGAAAGGAATTACTGATATCAAACTTATGAATGGCCTGTAACAGTGGGAATTGGGATTTGAAAACAAAAGTTCCGCAGCAGTGCAAAGTATCAAAGATGAAGCTTCCGCCATATTTTATGGAATGGATCAATCTGAAGGACATATATCTAAACTTCTATAAGCGAAGGGTCAGCATATATATTGGAGCTCTTTTTTAGTTCCACCCTCTAATTGATGCATTTTTTATTAATGGTTAACCTCAGCTTGCTTTTGTTTTGTGGGACTGCAGGCCCCAGGGATGCTTTCCATGATGAGGGAACTGAATATTCCCCTTTTAGGCAGTCACCATCTTGGAATAGACGATTCCAAAAACATTGCAAGGGTGTTGCAGCATATGCTAAACGACGGGGCTTGCTTGCAAGTAACTGCAAAAAGAAGTCATATTTTTCCTGAAGAAGTGAAGTTCCTTTTTGAAAATCGCATTAGATAGCTGGGAAAATATCTCACGAAGTATGTAATTTAGGTTATTTTGGCCTTGTTTCACGGACTTGCTTTATTTGTCTGTTTGACTGTGTCTAACTTTAAAGTTGCAGTGTAGTTGTTTGTGTCCTATACTTCGTCTACTTTTGCAAAATTGCAACGTATACTTGCACAACATGGTGTTTGGAGTCTTCTTTTCCGATGTAGTTAAAAACGGTGCTTGTAGTATGGTACATGTCATATCCGGATCGGGCATTGTGGTGGATAATGCAAAGATAGAGCCTATCATTGATTGGGAACGACCCAAGAATGTGAAGGAGACACATAATTTCCTTGACTTAGCAGGATACTATCGTAAATTTGTTGAGAAATTTTCCGTGTTGGCATTGCCACTTACGAAGCTCACGAAAAAGGGGACTGAGTTTATATGGGACAACAAGTGAGAGAAGGGGTTTCTTGAGCTAAAGAAATGACTTACCAAGGCACCAGTTCTTGCCTTACCCATACAAGGGATAAGGTATGATATCTATAATGATGCTAGCATCCAAGGGCTTGGATGTGTGTTGATGCAAACCGATAAGGTGATTGCCTATGCTTCTAGGCAATTGAGGAAACATGAGGTGATCCACCCTACCCATGATCTAGAACTGGGGGTGGTAGTGTTTGCACTGAAGATTTAAAGGCATTATCTCTACGGAGACATGCCACAACTATACCGATCACAAGAGTTTAAGGTATGTATTCAACCACAAAGAGTTGAATATGAGGCAAAGAAGATGGATGGAGTTGATCATGAAGAGTTGATTATGAAATGATCGTCGACTATCATCCCGGGAAGACCAATGGATAGACTCATGATTGCCTGAGATTGGCAGAAGAGCTATGTCGATACACGGAGTAGACCATTGGAGTTTGAAGTTAGTGATAAGGTGTTTCTAAAGATTTTTCCTTGGAAAGGTATCATCTGATTCATATCAAGGGGCAAGATTAACCTCCGATACATTGATCCGTTTGAAATCCTTGAAAGGATCGGGGTCGTGGCTTACCGTCTCAAGATGACACCGGAACTTCAAAAATACATGACGTGTTTCATGTATCAATGCTTAAGAAGTACGTACGAGATGTGTCTAATATTCTCGAGAAATCATCGGTAGAGATCCGTGAGCACTTGCAATATGCAGTGGAGCCGGTGAAGATAGTTGGTTAACAGGTAAAAAAATTGAGGAGCAGGGAGATTCCTATGGTAAAGGTTCTATGGAGGAGTGATCTAGTCGAAGAAGAAACATGAGAGACCGAGGTCTCAATGAGGGAGCAATACATGTTTCTTTTTTACTAGACACGTTTATTTCGTGGACAAAATCCCAAATAAGGGGGTGAACTTGTAACACCGTCCCGAAGTGTATTTACTTTTAGGTGAATAATGTATTGAACGTTATGCAATGGTTAATAAATTCACAAGGTTGTAAATTCTGTTAATTCACGTAAGGCCCACCTGATATTTCTAGGACTACATATTATGGTGGTGGATATTCTAGTTGGGCTATAGAAAAGGCATAGGGTTGACCGGTTGGTCAAACGAGACCCAATTATCGATATTGGTAATTTATGAGATAACAACCCAAAATGAATTTCGGGGACTTCTAAATTAAAGTTGAGTAATGAATATTCATTCTAAAGGCCCAAAGTGATTGGGAACGTGTTATATATTTCATTTGGTTTGATAAAATGAAATATAATTGAAACAGTCCGAGAAATACAACTTTCGGGGTCGAGTGTACACTTCGGGACTTAAAGGGGTGACCTCCCACATGGGTGGGGGCACCCCACGAATTTGTATGGGTTGTGAGAGAGGGGAGGTCGACTGGATGGGATGGAGGGGTGTAGGAGGTGTTGACTTGAAGAGATTGGCATCAAAAGAACATAAGAGGGGTCCATGCCATGTTATCATTGTGGAATAAGCCAAAGGAAGGTCTTATCCCTCCCCTTAGCCATTAATGCGACCATACCACCTCCATTGTGAAGAAAGAACTCTGCAAGTGTTACTCCATAGCTAGAAGGTTGTGTACTATCAATATGAGGTCCAAGGAAGAAAGGGAATTAGAGGAAAGAGGAGAAAAACGTTGGAAATAAAGGTAAAGATATCTTATTCAACTTTTCTTCTTTCATTCCTTTTCATATGACTTATACATCATATGAAAGACCGTTAGAATTGTTCTACATGTTTAGAACAATTCCACATGGGATGCACGGTTGGCATCTAACCGGCTGACATGGCGATGACCGGAAATTTACCGGCAAAAAATGAGATTTGAACTTTTTTAGCAAGTTCAGGGGGTGAATTGGAGCTTATTTGAGATCGGGGTGCGAATTGAGCATTCCGAACAGGTACAGGGGCCTATTTGACCCTTTAGCCTATATTATATTGTGCGACTGATTAACTGATATACCTTGCCATAACTACATGACCTTCATCTGTTTTATTTCCTTCACTTGGGAAAATTTTTATGTATAAATGCATTTCTTTCAAGATTAAAAAATCTATAGATTAGTCATTCAAAACACAACCTCACAAAGTTACAAGTACTCTAATGAGGCAAAGTCATTATATGACTTTGTTATATACAATTGGGTGGTGCACATACCCGAACATTGAAAATACTTTCTAATAAAATTTGAATAAACTAACTTGGTCATAAAAAATTAGTTCTAACTTGTTGGATATTTAGAAATCTGACCTTTCCATTAGTATGTAAACTCTATTCCCAATGGTAAAAAACAATTTAAAGAGCAAGTGCAATGTACCTTTATAGGTTTTGGATGGTCCTTATTGTGTACAACCTGCAATATACATGACATAGGAAATGGTATCACATGTAAAATGAATGACAGTTATAACTCAAACAATAAAATCAAACAAAAAAATAAGGGAAAACTATCAAATAAGCCCCCGTACTATATCGAAAAAGTCAATTAGGCCCTCGTACTTTACAAACACTCAATTAAGTCCTCGAACTAGTAAAAAACGTTCAATTAAGCCCTTTCGGTCAATAAATAACCGGTTTTCCGGTTAAATGTAACCTGTTTCCCGGCAGCCGCCGTTGCTGGGGTTCAAGCACATCGTCGCCGTCATCGCCGTTTAACCGGGAAACCGGTTACTTACCGACCAAAAGGGCTTACTTGAACGTTTTTTACTAGTTCGAGGACTTAATTGAGTGTTTGTAAAGTATGAGGGCCTAATTGACTTTTTCGGAATAGTACGAGGGCTTATTTGATAGTTTTCCCAAAAAATAATTCAAGTAAACAAGTGCCGGTGCTTCTAGAAAAAGGTAATCTGTTTTTGGCAGACAACCAAATCTAATCTAAAGTGAGATGAGAACCTTGTACTGCCAGTTATCTAAGGTTTACGGAAGCTGCAAGTAACTACTATTATGTACCTTGCACCTAACCTATGGAATGAATAAGGTGCTTAAAGACACAACCAGTATTGAGATATGACTAAGTGAGAATTACTCTGCCTTTGTACCTTGACATGCTTGATCCCATCTCTTATGAATTCTTCTCCTGAATAGTACCTATTTGTATAAGATCAATCACCAAACTCAATTAAAACCTTCACCACTTAATGATCATTATTTGGGAAAACTCCATCATTGAGATATCTTAATAAAAGAAATAGAAGCTGTAGCTGTAGTTGGAACTACTCAATCAAAGTAGTTACTTCGCAACTGGTATAAGTGAAAACTAAAATAAAAATATAATTATAATACTTCGTAGTAATCAATAAACTTAGAGATGCACCTCTCAGTATTATATCTAAATGCATTCTATAAAAAAACCGGAGAAACCTATTCAAAGTTACCTCTCAATATTATTCAAACACTTTCTAGGGAAACCCCGCTGAAAATTTGGCCTATGCAATCCAAAAGGTAGAGAAAAGTGAATGCTATAAAAAATGGTTGTCATAAATCATAATACTTCACAAAAACTCTAAATACGCGAAGTAGGGAAAAGACATAATTAGGAGAGATCATTTTAGCTAAAAACCAGTAAAAGATTATATCAACTCTACCTTGGTTTTTGCCAAACTGAAAAAGTGGGGTAAACTGTAAACCTGCAAAATTTGCAAAAGTGAGGTAAGCCTAAAAACGGAGTATTAGGTCCTCTAACTTCACAATTATATTGAATTGAACAATATATTTCCCAAAACAAATCAGGATTAAGTCCTAAAAAAGATTCTACTGAGTTGTTAGTGACTGCATAAGCTATTTTTCAAGGCACTAAATTTGAGCGTAAACCAGCACATGGATGATTTTTTCATTGTTTAACTCCTAGCCTACAGGACCACAAAAGCTATTACTTACAAATATAGAAATAATAAAAACATAACAAAACTCTAATCTTTTCCCACAACTACTATAGAGAGACTACCTTCAGAATGCCTTTGGCGACTACCTCATAAGCTATTCCTTTCACCGAGGCTTTTTTACAAACAGTTGGTTGGCATTAGAAAAATGCACTGAGAAATAGACATTTCCATTTTCTATCAAACGAAAAGAAATTAAAAATCCCAACAAATACACAAAAAAAGAGAATAAGTATGCATAAACTGAACATTACCTGTAAAAATAATGACATATACAGTATGCAAAAATCATTTTTATCTGAGAATTACGTCTGCAATTTCACATGACAAGGTCGGCTGATGTGATTTTGTTACAACAAATTTGCAATTGTTAAGGAGGTAATAATATAGACGTTAAGCTAGAGATCGAGTACCTACCGGCTAGTGTCTCCGTTTGTCGACCGGAAATCTCAAGGAGAAGTTAAGGACTCACCAACTCGATCCATCAGTCAGCTAGGGCAAGGGCGAGCTCTTGAGGAACCGAGGATTGCCATCGAAGGGGAACAAAATCCAATCGTCCAGGCGGCGAAGTTGTGCGTTCGGTGAGTGGCGATGAGGTCCATCCGTCTGGCGTTTCTGGGCTAGGTCACGACAGTGTAGGAAAAGGGCGTTGTGTGTTGATTGAATGAGAGATGCAAATGTTTACACGTATATATGTATAAGTGTTTTTGATTTTTTTTTGGTACAAGTGTTTTTGAAATTTTAAAAAATATGAAAACTAATTAAAAAACTGTTTTGGAATGTCACTTTATAGGTTGATGTAATAGTGTCACAAATTAGTGATATAGAAGTGTCATAAAGGTCTTTATGTCATTGTAGTGTCACAAATTAGTGATATAGAAGTGTCATAAAAGTCTTTATGTCATTATAGTGTCACAGACAAAGTGTCACTGTAAGGCATTTTTCTAGTAGTGGGGTAACCACCGGGTCCAGTCCGGGTCCGGGCCTCCGGTTCGGTCATAATTTTTTTTTTGCTTTCCTAACCCCCCCACTAACCCCCCCCACCCCCCAAACCCCCAAACCCCTCCTAACCATCAAGTCCAACCCGGCTAACCTCAAAAAATGAAAAAAAAAATATAAAAAAAATCAATTCGGCCCGGGCCCGACTCGGCCGGGCCGGTTCACCAAATACAAGGCCCGAGCCCGGACCCGCCCCCCCCACCGGGCCTAGGCCCGACCCGGACCCGAGAACCGGGCCGGTTCCGGGCCCGCACAGTGGCGGGCCGGGCCGGTCCCGGGCCGGGCGGCCCGAACCGGGTCCATGCCTACAAACAACTGTGTAAAATTGCCAAGCTAGTTTAGTTTGAAATGTAAATATGACCTCACCCAGTCACCCCTAATCTATCTCACCCACACATTTCTCTAATAAGAGTTCACAAATTTCTTTCTCAAAGATTCATGAACTCCTGTGCAGAGATGTGTTTATGTTTTTATTATTTTAGCAGGATTAAATAAATCCTTGGGAGTGGAGATGTGGTCCCTTTCATCCAACTTGTCTATATAGATTATTATAGGATAATAAGAAAGAGGCTACTACTAGAAAGAGTGTTATTTACTGCAGTCATAGTAGTCAATGGCGAGAAATGGTGTGCGCCATATTCATCATTGCCATGAAAAAGTAGTCGTCGCCATAGCGCCATATGTGCCATCGCCATGCGCCATGACAACTATGGCTGTAGTTATAATTAACTATTTGTTGCGGTTCAAGTGATGCACTAGAACTTTCTTGAATTGATTAAATAGTGGACCCTTGCTTCCCTATCAAGTGAGCCGCTTGCGAAGCAGCCACCAACAATTTAATAGAGCAGAAAGCAGCTATGGAAGCAGCTTAATCCAATCTTGGAATGCATTTAAAGATTGTGTTCCATTTATTGGAGGGGATGTGGGCATATCTGAGTCTTCTCTTCCAGTAACAAGGACCTAAACTCCTAAAGTATCTAAACAAACATGTTAAGTTTTTTTTTTTTGCATAGACTAGCTAAGATCAATGGTCAACAGATAGTCATAGAAAATTTAGAAGATTAGTTAACATGAGTGTAAAAGAGTGAAATAAATGGGACAAATAGAAAAAATAAACTGAGAATAAATAATACCACATGATCTTCCAACAACCTATTGAATCCAATAACTTATGAAGGCCGTGTGTGTATAGTTTTCCAAACAATGGTCTCTTAACATCATCTTGTTCCGAACTTTTAGCAGTTTTTCTGAAATCTCGAATGAAAAATTAAAATAACAAACTTTGAAACACCTTAACAAAGTTTGGATAACTACTTGAAATGATAATGACTGAAGTAAATCTTAAACTTGGTAATTCATACAAGTACATGCTATTTTTTTAGCAAGTCAAAACCCAACGAACCTTGAATACCACTGTTCCAAAACGGGTGGTACCCTGTAGTATATCTGCAGCAGCACTATCTATGGAGATCAATTACATTTGAAGGGTTCATTTGCAAACAAATACTACGTAATTTAAAATACAAAAATACATTACACAAGTTCAATGTGATAAACAATTGGAAAATGACAATTTATATGCATAAAACACCCATCCAAAAAACTGAAGAAACGTGGTATAGGAAGAGTAAGAGAACAGATGGATAAATAGAGACTCGTATGTAGTATAGATCGAATAAGGGAAATTGTCCTAAATAGGACTAAATAGGTTTTAGAATTCCAAAATAAGACTTTTATGTTTTCCTTCCCGAAATAGGAGTCATTACCGCTATGATTGAAAAGTATTGTCATTCATTATAGTAATGACTAAAAGATGGCAATCATGTTACTCCTATTTCAGGAAGAAAAACATAGTAGTCCTATTTTGGAATTCCAAAACCTATTTACTCCTACTTTTGTGAGCAGTGTTTAGCTAGAGCAGCTGAATATAGTGTCTCAAAATCAACCAGCCGGCCTGCCAGTACATCCCAAACGTCACTAACTCTCCTCTATAGAAGCAAAAAGAATTTGATCTCTGTCACCCACCGATCTGATCCTTACCAGCAAAAGGAGGTGCGAGGCGGTGTTGCTCGCAATGGCGGACCCACTAAGGGTCCCATGGGGTCCCAGGACCCCGTGGTCTTTGAAAAATTTACCTATATATATTACATATATTTTACAAAATTACCTGTATAAATTACATAAATATGTCAAAGATATCGAGTTAGAAACCATATTGGTGCAACGGAGTAATGGTATCATGAGTGGGTGGAAATCTTCCCTTGTGCATGACATGCTGGGTTCGACTCCCCCTCGTGGCTGTTATTTCTATTTTTAAAACTTTTTATTTTAAAACTCCAAATGATGTCCTTTTGGTCCAATTTTTAAACCCCTTCCAATTGCAAATCTGATACCACAACAAATCTATTGTCATATGTGTATCTCCCTTGAGACCTCAACCAATTCTTATTAAAATTTTTTTTGAATTAATTATAAAATTTCTTTTGAATGTTAAGATTAAATTAATAAATTTATGTATTTCTGAATGTGTTTTTTTTTTCTTTGAAATTTTACGATTAAGGGTGAAAAGGTATTTCGGTAGTGTACCCAAATTTGGATTACTGAGAGTATTTAAGATATTCATTCAAATGATTCACCTTTAGTAAATAAAGAATTGAATCTGGTATAAAAAAAGAATTAAATCTAGAACTTGCTGAAAGTGAAACTAATTTGGCCTATAATCTACATGATTAACTGATGTGGTACTTAAGTGAATTAATCGGCCAACTAGGTCACCTAGTTGCCCACTAGAGCGCTTAATCGACCGCCTAAGGCGTCTAGATTCGTCAAACATTTTATTTTGCTTTTTTATTTTAGTATTCTAGGGGATATATGTACCTTCAACTTTAACAACACATAAAAAGAAAGCTATTAGTTGTAAACTAAGATAGAAACTATACATATTTATATATAATGTTAAGTGTTATTATTATTCAATACTACCTCCGTCCCGTTAAAAGGTTCTCATGGCAAAATGACACGATTATTTAAACAATAATTCAATATGCTAATTCAAATATATTTTGAGAAATAATTTTGATGAGTATATAATATAATGAGTTATTGATGATAATGGTAATGTTATAAATGTATTATTTTTAATATTTGATGATTAAATTGTTATTTAAGAATGTTAAATGTTTCTTAAAATAGAAAGTGGGAACCATTAAGTGGGCCTTACAAAAAAGGAAAGTGAGAACCTTTAAATGGGACGGAGAGAATATTATTTATTACATAATGAAGTTTTTTTTTAAAGGAAAATCGACATATTATATTAAATCAACTCGCAGTAACATGGGAAAATTGCAAATCGTAAAGTAATCATCCAAAGCTAACCTCCTTCTAAACCAACCTAACCATAAGCCCATCTGCCCCTTCACTTCTTTATCAAATATAGAATAGTCCACCCCAAAAGGAGCGAGACTAATCGCTGAAAAAGTGAGAGCTTTGAGGCTATTAACAGCTGCATCAGCCTGATTGCCTCTCACCAGAAAACTAGCAATTAAGATAAAGCAAACTAAGAACCTGTCTCCCTTAATATTAGATCTACTAAAAACAAAATAAAGATAAGTAAGCAGAACATAGTAAAAGTAACTAAACTTCATCTGGTGAAACAACAGAGTCCATTCTCCAAGCATCGTACTCCAGAACCTAGCCACACCCTTCCTCAATGGCGGCGGTTTGGGAGGGGGACGAACCTTTCACATACCATCTTCTTCCTCCACTGCCCTAGGCGGCCAAGAAAACCACCGTACCGATCCCCCAATAGCTGATTGGAACCCAAGTTCCCTCCCTTTAAGTGGGACCCATACAATCAGCGTCCCACCCGGATTAAACACAGCTGGTACAACTCCCATCTCAATCACCATCACAACCAGAATAGCTAATCCAAGTATTGGAAATTTGGGTTTCACACCCCTAGCTGATCCAGATCCACCGTCCACGAAACCATTTAAAGCCATTGTTGCCAAATTGGAAAACAAAGATAGATCCGTAGGTATTTTCAGCCTCAATCCTAAGAATCAGCGCAGCCCCTCTGTAATCTGAGGCCACGCTCGCTGCAAATTGAAAGTATCCCCAAACTTTTCTTTGCCGTCTCACACTCCCTGATCTAACAAACAGTTATTCCTCCTTTGCACGCTCGAAGGTTGTTGTACGTTCTGCGCAAGACCCCTGCAGACTTGATGAAGGCTCGTCGCCTTCTCCTCACTGCGTAACAAAAAACGTCGAGCGATTGGGAAATCGCCGACCCCAACCTAAACGCAGACTAAAACCTAGCTGCGGCCGCCACTCTCCCTAGATCCCTTATACACATGACTTTTAAACGTACATAATGAAGTTAAGTAGTAGGTATAATATATTATTAAATGAGACAACTCTATCATTCATGCATGTTAATGTGTATGTGTATGTTTTTTATACACAAACAAACACAACATTACTAATCATTTATGCATAAACATTGATAAAGTTATCATTTCGATGTCTCCGACTGATCCCGCCTAGGCGCCTAGGGACATTTAGAGCATTGACAGCAGTGCTGATGTTAAATAAACATAGGGTTTACCAATTTTGACATATGACCTTTTCAAGTAGTGGGGGTTAAATAATAAATTTGGTCTATTGAAGGGGAAGAATATGAAGAAATGTATAGGTAAATGAGAGAAGATGATGTAAATGTTTCCATGCTCATACATGCCTACCAAAGCATAGGAAAGACTATAGACATATGTTTTATCATCAAGGGTGATTGTATGTTCACCGATCATGAGGTTCATGATATTGTCTCTCTTATTTCAAATCGGTTTTAAAAGAAGCTAGATGCACTCATGTAAATCGCTTTCTATACTTCTTTGGCGGTAAGTCTCCTAGAATATTCCCTCCGTCCCTTTTGATTTACTCATATTTGACTTTTCTAGTCAAGGATGTTAAACTTCGACCTTACATATATATTTCTATACAGTAGTATTGATAATATGAAAATGTTTTGTTAAAAATACTATCATAAAAGTATAAATTTATTAAGTTCCATATAAATATATTAGTTAAAATAATGAATCAAAGTTTACCATCTTTGACTGAAAAAGTTGAAGATGACTAAAATAAAACGGGACGGGGGTAGTATGTTAGTTGGATGAAGACAACAATTTAAAATTCAAAGAGTTGTCTTTTAACGGTGACTTCGGGGGCAGTATGTTAGTTGGATGAAGACAACAATTTAAAATTCAAAGAGTTGTCTTTTAACGGTGACTTCTCAGAATCCACCGTTGAGTGCCCTCAAATTCTGTATGCATACTCCCTGTTAGCTATCAGCATCTAGATGATGAATCGTGTGTACCTTAGTCGATACAGCAGATGCTAAGGAACCTCCTTCTCCAACAAAGAAGTATGAATTCCATGTTATCTTTTTGTGTTGCAATCATAGTTGTCATAGCTCAAAGACATTTTTCATGACACATGGGGATGCGCATATACAAATGGCGCAAATAGCGTATACGGTGCTATGCTGACGACAACACTTTCATGGTGATGGCGCATATGACGCGCGCCATATCTAGCCATTGACTACTATGGTTGCAATTGATAATGGAGTTCTCGTTCCAATCATAGAGGGCAATTTGAATAAAAAACGTTACATTCATAAAAAGGATAATTTTGAATTAGAAAAATTAGATTTTGATTCTTAATGTGGTTTTTGTTATATTTGTGTTTTTACCATGAAATTTTATATAGATGTAAACGTTCAGAATCCGCATTAGGTAGACTTGTTACACCTTATGCACATTTTAAAAATCCACCGGAAAGACATACAAGATTCCAAAGCTCAAGCTTCAAAATTTCAATTCCAGAAGAGATTTTTAATTCCTACAAGTCATTTTAAGCTATGTCTTTTGTGGCACAATGATAGAAAGTGTAATGCCATCTTCTATGCTAGGATTTAATATCTTAAGCCACGTGCCCATTATCATTCAATTCATTATGGAATAAATCAAGGTCAATTAGGGATTAAAAAAGTGTTAAACTTTTTTTAGGGAAAAAAAGTGTTTGACATAATGATGAACTAAACATTACCCTTTGATGTGTGTGGCTGCTATAACTTCAGCTATGGTAGGTGTATTTTTCGCTCCACCACTCTCTGTGGATACAAAAAAGAATCACTACGATCACAAATAAATTAATACATCTAAAAAGGGAGTACATCTTATTTGAACTAAAGGGTGAGAAGTACTTACAAAAGTAGACAATTGGCTATTTCAAATTGATCAAGGTTAATGTCTCCCAACACAGCTTCTTTCAAAAGAATGCAGAGAGACAAAAACTTTGGCATAGAAGAGAGCATTATACATCTTGACACTATGCTACATAAGTCCAAATTTAAAAGGGCCTATTAGGAATTAAGTTTTAAATGACTTAGATTCATTCTGGAATTGTGATATGTATCATCAATTTAGGTCAATCAAAATTAGAATAGACTATATTAGAAATCATTGGTGCTATAAAAAAAGCTCATCATACTCGTCAACGTAAATTGAGCTGAACAATTCCCCAGGAAAATCTCTGGTACTTGTAAGAGTAGATAAGAAACTCAACAATCAACCTGCATATTATGTTTCAATAAACATTACTTGAAAAATAAATATAAAAGTAATTAAATTACAAGTCAAACTTGCTAAAAAATGATTAAAAATACTTAGATACTGTTAGAAATTCTTTGTGCGCGTGACGATGAAATGAAGGAGTTGCACCATTGGATTCAAAGGTCATCAACAGATACGTTGTTTTATGACTCAAATTAATCATTGATCTTCTGTCCATTATAACACTTTGAGAGGCGTCATTATAATGCTCAGCCTTTGTTGTCATTGATGGTTTCTCTCCAAAAAATCTTTGTTGATTAAAAACATAAAGTAGTGGCATGTGATAGGTAGTGACATCATTATTATCGAACTTTGGGAGATTGCTTCTTAATAAATTATACCCATGTGTATAATCAACATAATCATAGTGCACATTGCTTATTATTTTGTGACTTCACATTGATCTATAAAAAATTCATATGATAAATAAGTTGATTACTAATACATGTGTTTCCACTGCGTAAGTTAATTGATATGTGAACAATATACATACCAATTGCCTTACTCAGTCAAAACACATGTATTAATAATCAACTTACCTATCACATTAAATTTTTAGAGAACAATGGCAAGTCATAGAAAAATAAGCTTTGTGCACTATGATTATGCTGATTACACACACCGGTACAATTCATCAAGAGGCAATCTCCCACATTTCAACAATAATGGTGTCACAACATATCACATGCCATTATTTTCCGTTTTTAATCAACAAAGATTCTTTGAAGAGAAACCTTCAATGACTGCAAAGGTTAAGCATTATGATAACGTTTCTCAAATTGTTATAATGGACAAAAGTTCAATGATTAATTTGAGTCTCAAAACAACTTATATGTAGATGACCTTTGAATTCAATAGTGCAACTCCTTCATTTCATCATCATGCACACAAAGATTTTCTATCGGTATCTAGGTGTTTTTAATAATTTTTAATCATTTTTTGCAAGTGTAACTTGTAAATTAGTTACTTTTATGTTTACTTTTCAATTAATGTTTATTAAAACATAATATGCAGGTTGATTGCTGAGTTTCTTAACTACTCTTCAATTTACTTTGACGAGTATGACGAGCTTTTTTATAATCAATTTACTTATCTCATGAAATATTTACAGAACAATGAAAAGTCATAAAATAATAAGTAATGTACACTATGGTTATGCTGATTACACACACTGGTATAATTCATCAAGATGCAATCTCCTAGAGTTCAACAATAACGATGTCACGATATATCACATGACACTACTTTTCGTTTTTTGTCAACAAAGATCCTTTAAATAGAAACCTTCAATGACAGTCAAGTTGAGCATTATGATGACGTCTCTTAAATTGGTATAATGGACAAAAGATCAATGATTAATTTGATAGTCCTATTATCCGAAATAGGACTAAAAAGGTTTGAAAATTCCAAAATAGGACTGACATGTTTTTATTCCCAAAATAGGACTAATTACTGTCATGTTTTGGCAGTACCAGACTTCAAACATGACAGTATTTTCCAAACTTGACAGTAATTACTCCTATTTTGGGAATAAAAACATGTCAGTCCTATTTTGGAATTATCAAACTGTTTTAGTCCTATTTTGGGAACTTTCCCAATAAAAAACTACTTATCTATTAATAACTTTTGTATCCAATGATGCAACCCCTTCATTTCATCATCATGCACGCAAAGACTTTCTATCTGTATCTACGTACTTTAAATAATTTGTAATCATTTTTTTCATGGTAACTTGTAAGTATTTATTTTTATGTTTACTTTTCAAATAATTTACTTTGACCAGCATGACTAGCCTTTTTTTATAACGTCGATAACTTCTCATATTGTCTATTATAATTTTGATTGACCTAAAGTGAAGCATATTACAATTCCAAAATGGATCTAGGGTTTTAAAAAAGAGTTAATTATCAAAATAGGACTAAAAGTCATTCACTTTGCACAAATAGGACCAAAAAATAAACTATGTTTCCATAGGACTAATTATGTTTGTCTTGGACAAATATACCCTTATACCTATTGGAATGTTTTAATTCATAATAAAATAATAAAAAATAATAAAAATTCGTAAAATATACCAAAAAATTAATAAAAATATTCTGAATAATAATAAATTTAAAAAAAAAATTAAAAAAAATAAAAAAGAAAAAAAATTAAAAAAATTAAAAGAAAATCAAAAAAATATTTTTTTTGTCACCGCCCCAGCACCACCACCTCTAGTCATTTGGGGAAAAAATGTCAAATTTATTATAAATTCCATATTTTTGGCATAATTCAGAATGATTTAAGATGGAAGAAAAAAAATGTTGGCATTCTCAAAGAGAAATATGCCATATTTTTGGCATTTTCTGAAAAAATGGAAGTTTGTAGGAAATATGACATTTTTTTTAACGGTCGGAGGTGGTGGTGCAGGGAGGCGGTACCACCACCTCCTGTCACCGGGGTAAAAAAATGCCAAAAAAATTATGAATGTCATATTATTGGCAAAAGTCAAAAGGATTCAAGTTGGTAGAATGAAAATGTTGGCATTCTCATAGAGAAATATGCCATTTTTGTGGAATTTAAAAAAAAAGTGGCATTTTTTACACCGATCGGAGGTGGTGGTTCAGGGAGGTAGTACAGGCGGTGGGAAACGTATCCATATTTTTTTTAATTTTTTTTATGGAGTTTTACTATTTTTTTATTAATTTTTTAAAAAATAAAAAAAATAAAAAAAAATTCTTATTTTTTATTTTATAAAAATTTTATTAATTTTTTTATTATTTTTCTACGAATTATTGAAATTTTTTCGAATTTATTATGAATTAAACATTTAATTATGACTTTTAGCTATCTTTTACTAATATTTAAAGGAGGGGTAAGAATGGAAGGAAGAAATGAGTATGTTTCCAATAGGACCACTATGGTCCTATTTTGAAAAAAAAACATAGCAAGTCCTATTTTGAGTTTTTGCCATAGTTTTAGTCTTATTTGAAGTAATTTCTATTTTAAAAATATATGCTTTAATTTGAAACACTTTGAAAAATTAATTTCAAAGAGCTTGACTCGCACCACGCCAGGGGACTTTGACCCGTCAGTAACGATGACGATGATAATAATAACAGTAACGGTTGCTCCCTCTGTCCCCCTACTTTGTCTCATTTTACCTTTTTCGTCTGTCCCATTAAGGTTGTCTTATACCATATTTGGTAATATTTGGGTGATTACAATTCATTCTTTTTTTATTCACTTTATCAATTCAGTACCAACCCCACAATTTCTTTTTTTCTTAAAAGTTGTGTCATACTTCTTTGTCCCAAACACAGGGAGTGTTTGCTAAAGATTAAAATAAGTGTTTTTCAACTTTCGGCTTAAAAATAGCTGAAATTAGTGCTTTTAAACGATAGCTTCTACTTAAATTAATCACTTAAAAGCTAAAAACTGGAAGCAAATTGAGAGGTGCTTCAAACACGTTTTCTATTAACTTGTCAACTTTTACTTTTTTAGAATCACTTTACTTTCAAACATTACCAACTTTTACTATTAATTACTATCTCTAAAATCACTTTAAAAAATTCATTTTTTTAAAGTAGAAGGAATCCATACTCTCATGGTTGGAAAGAGCCACACAATTTCACTTTTTTTTAAAAGTTGTGTCATACTTCTTTGTCCCACCACACATAGTGGAATGGAGGTAGTATAATACTCGGTAATAATATTAATAATACTTTAACTGTTTAAATGTGTAAAGAGAGCCATTTGAACTTTGAAGTACTTAGCTTTTGGAGTGGGCTAAACATTGGATATGTTGCTGAATTTGAGGCCCATTATGATTGGCGAGAATCATTCTTGGGATTATTAGCCTTGGCCCACTGGGTTTTGACCGGAGCTAGGTCTTGGAGGAAAAGCCATCGTGTCATTCATTTCACAACCTTCGGCACTCCGCTGCTGATGCGTCCTGGGGCGCTGTGGGCTTAGAGTTCGTCATTCTCGGAGGCTCATCTTCGTCACTCTGTTCTCTGGCTGGGTTATAGATGGTGGTCAAGTCGACGGAGACAACGCTGACCACGGCGGCATCGGCCGAAATGGTCAGGAGGACGACCTGCTGCCTCAAGTGGTAACCCGTCGCTGGTCTGGGTTGAGTCCTTCGTCGCAACCCCTGGCCGATTCGCGCAGCTGGCTTCACTCTAACGGAGGTAGAGAAGCAGACCTCGAACAGTTTCTGGCGACACTCTAACGGAGGTAGAGATCCGGAAGTGTAGCAGGTTGGCTCCAGTTTTTAGCAGCAACGGTGCATGCCCTCCTCAGGTTGGCTTCTAGCTCGAGCAACAGAGCCTCCCTGCGCCATTAATGGCGCAAGCGGTTTCATGAAGCTAGAGGTGAGGCTGGTGAGAGCGGTGCAACGGTGATCATCACGCTGTTGGCGCGGGCCGGACTTGGTTCGTCGACCACCAAAATTGGATCTGGCCGGAAAATTCCAGATCTTGGAGATTAATCTTCCAAAAATTCCAAAAACTTTCATCTTAGAGATCCTTTTCTGAAATTTCCAAATTGTAAACGATTTTTTTTCTTTTTGGAAAGATATCTCAAATTGAACGATTGTGTTCAAATCTTTTTTCTCAGAGATCCTTTCCATCTCTAAGATTGTGTTCAAACCTCTCAAATTGAACAAGAAATGGAGAAGGAGATAGAACATGAAATGGTTGCATTGAGTGATAATTTGATTAGGGTTTACAAGTTTCCCATAAGTATATATAGAAAAATTGTGGGTTGGACCAATAATATGGGTTTAATAGGCCAACTATATAAAAAGTTAATCCAGCACTCCTACCGTCCCGAATTACAATATATTTTTCGGTTTACGATAACCGATGATAAAGCAAATAAATTTCAGTCTGCACTTAAATTATTTTTAAGAAAAAAAATTACATATTCAGAAATTATATTAAAACTACTACAAAATCTGCAAAAAATAATTCAACTTTCATAAAATTTTGATTTATAAAGTAAGAGATTAAAAGTGATTTGCGTTGATTAATTGAACATTACGCTGTGTTTAGATGAAGTGTTAGGGGGTGTTAGTAATAGAAGTGTTGAGAAGTGTTGATATTAACACTTGTTTGGGAGGGAAATTAAGAAGTGTTAACGGGTGTTAGTAAGTGTTAACAGGTGTTAGTAATTACCCCCTCAACACCTCATTGGTCCACTTTTTTAACACCCCAATTTGGAATGTATTGAAGTGTTGACAATTATTACCCTTCATTTACCGATAAAAAAAATAGTCCATTTGCCGCACAGCCCTCTCGATCGTTGTCTGCTCGTCTGCCTCTATCTCTTCTGCTCAGCCCTCTCGATCGTTGTTTGCTCGTCTGCCTCCATCTCTTCTGCAGCAATCTCTTCTGCTTGTCTCTCTCACTTGTCAGCCTTCATCTCATCGGTTCATTTGTTATTCCAGGTTAGTTCTCTCAGAAGCTCGTAACAAAAGCTACTTGTTTCTTGTTCAGAAGCCTGATATGTTGAGAGCTCTACTTGGATGTCCACCTGAAAATCGGAGAAGTCTTCTTTATGACATGATGTCATGAGCTAGTGCATTAATCTTATCTAATTATAACTTTTTAATTTTATGTTGCCCTTTTGCCGTATTGGAAGGATTGTATTCCTAATTTTGATGAACCGAAACTTATTTTGCTTATCTCTATTCAAAAATGATGATACACTAGCTGGAAGGATTGTAATCCTAATTTTGATCAATTAAAACTTATTTTGTTACACGTCATTTTTTTCAAGTGTTGTACGTGTTGTTGTACAATATATACAATTAGGTGACTGAAAACAACGTTTGTAATTTATTGACTACGGTATATTTGTGTTGCAAATTTTAGAATAACCGTCATATGTTAAGTTGCCATATGTTAAGTTAAAACATCTAAATACTCCTTATTAGTTACGTATCTGTTTTGTGGAGTATTAATTAGTACAAAGTATCACATATAATAGTATTTTTACTTCTTTGAAATATTATTTATACTTATATTTTTTGTCCTTATATGAATTATTATGAAGTGTATAACATGCATGTTTCACAGATGAAGATATTATGTATATGGCGGGAACATTTATTTCCCCATACGATTTCATTTTAATATATATTAAGATTTAAAAAGCATAAGGTTATTTTTGTAAATTTATGTGAAAACACTTCCTTTACTAACACTCCATTTTTTTTACTCTTCCAACCAGGGTTAATTTATACTTAACACTTACACTTACCTTACCTTCCGGGCCACTGTCAACACTCACTAACACTTCCATTACTAACACTCCTTAACACTTCATTCAAACACGGCGTTAAAGACATCTTATAAAATGGGATAGAAGAAGTATATACAATGGATGTGTAAATTGTACAACAATATAAATATTTCTTGCTAGGTGTACGTGGGCCGCTGTCCAGACCCAATAGTCAATGGATTGGGGGGTCGAAATCCATATACTCTATCAATGCATTAGATAATATTGAAATGTGTTGAATAAAAATTTAAACTCAGGTGTGCATTAGGTGAAACTGAAATGGTGCGTGATAAAAGGTACAAAAATAACATCACATAGTATCTTTTATGCACAATACCTTTGTTGAAATGTGTACACTTTAGCTTCACATAATTTAGTCATACATTTTATGCACAATTTCACCTAATGCACAATTCACCTTCACATGATGTTATCGTATTGTACTCTCTGTTCTGCACATTTCAATTTCACCTAATGTCACTGTTCTAAAAATCGGAATAAGCGGACCGATTAATCGGCCTAGGCGGCCCTAACTGAGAGGCCTAGTCAGTAAAAAAAAGGCATAGTCGGCCAAAAAAAACGGCCTAGTCAGCCGCCTAGGCGCTCCTCAACCGCCTAACTAGCGCCTAGCGAGTTTTAGAACAATGTCTAATGCACATTACATTTTCATCTAATGCACATTTAATTTCACTTAAAGCAACAAATCCTACGGTCCAAATTCATTCTCATTTCTCTCTTAAAATCATGTTCTTATTTGATCCAAACCTACATATGTGTGTGTGTGAATTATATTCTACTAGTATTCCACCCGTGCGTTGCACGGGATGTAAAATACAAATATTATAAATGCTAACATATAAATACAACTATAAATCAGACGAAGTAGTCTTTTTTATCGCAGTAACCATTAGTAAATCAAACTGTTTGTGCTTCTTTGTTATGAAGCAGTAGTTAGTCTACCTCCAATTTTCGACGGTGTGCAGTTGAATTTGAGGCTTCTATCCCATAAGTTTCAACGTTTAAAATAATCTGCAATTACAGTTTCTCCCAAAAAGAAAAGTTAGAAGGTTCAGGTTCTTATTCTGCAACCCATATGAATTTATATGAAATTTATGGAATTTATTTATGTAGATAAATGGACATTAGTCCCTGGATCACTTATATGAATTTATGCTGCAAAAACAGTAATCTCTAGAATCTAGACAAATGGAATGTTGATGACATTTAATCATATGTAGCAACCAATAAAATGTTAAAAACATCATAAATAGAGGAAAGGACCGATGTGAGTCCAGATGACAGTCTTATTGGAGTAAGATTTTGTTGCATAAACACTTCGTTATGGGGTGAGTAATAATATAATCCCAAATTGCAATTAGAACTAAACAGAATATAGTTTCCAGCCCAATAATCATCAAGAAATAAAAAGGAATTTGAACATTGACGATCAAAACTAAAAGAGTTTTTTACAAGAATATTACTAAAATAAAATTTATTTACATAAATATGACTATTCATTACTATAATGTAGTGTTTGTGGTAACTTAAGTTCAAAACTTGAACATGAATTACTATGATTTCATTACTACTCTAGTAATTAATCATACTTTTGTAAATCATCTATATTGTGGTGATATTTATGCAATTATTTCAAACTAAAATACCCAAATGTTATAGAAATGGTACATATGGCAATTCACTTAGCCTTAAATTGAGCCCAATAAACAAAATAAAGGTTAGTAATTCATAGGACAAAAATACATCATTACCATCCCGCAAATCTGCAATAAATGTGAGATAACATGCCAATTAATCTACATATAATTAAGTAGTAAGTTTTCATAATAACCAATCATGCATTTTAGAATAACCAACCGGGCTTTATCAACTTGCCTTGTATCAACCTATTCATGTTGCCCTTGTATTTAGTGTATATATAGATCAATTAGATCTTTCTTTTCTGAATGAGAGACCCTATTGTTTGCTTCAAACTCTTCAATATGTGCCTCAGTGACCTACAAAGAAGATGAATGTATGTCATTTAAATAGTCTATAGGGCCATCATTATGATAACATACCCATGCAGTGAAGAACCTAATATTTCTCAACATGTTTTTAAAATGAGTTATCTCATATCATGAAATAACTTTGTTTACAAACATATTTTTATGGTTATACCACTACTTATTTTATGTTCTTTAATTAAATAACACTACTTATGATTTCATTTATACCTAAAATAATTACTTATTTGATGGTTACACTACTCTTATTTAACCACAAATTCTTATTGATTTCATTTATTATGGGTATACCACTACTTATTTTGTGTTCTTAATTAAATAATAATGATAATAAAAATGTGCTTCAGATTCAAACTATATCTTTGTATGTTACTATAAGGTACTAGTATAATTTATTTTGGGGCCCTTAAAAAATATGAGGCCCTAGGCAATTGCCTGGCCTTACTCCCCTCTTAGCTGTATGTAGGATATGATAGGATTATAATAGAATTAGGTGAAATTGTATGAGATTATTGTATGAAATCGTATGCAAATTTCATTGGTGGTCTTGAACCTATATAATAGAATTAAGTTGAAATGAGACGATGATCTTAGGAGAGAAATAAGAATAGATTTGAGCCATTTCTATTATGTGA